ATTCCAACAGATGATAAATCGAATGACGATCATGTCAAAACCATCTGATAATAGTTATAGGGCTTGAGTGAGGCAATAAACATTCGATGCCAGGATGATGTTTTGGTTCAGTGTAGTCAACGTTTTCGGAAGCTTTTGACGTCTATTTGTTGACAACAACAATAACAATAACAGTGCATTTTTTCGGTTCGTAAAACGCTCTTGTTTTGGAGACAGCCACCATGCAAGAGGAGCGTAGATAAAAAATCGTGTGCGGTCACCTCGAAAATTCATCGTGGTCCGCATCCAATCTGGCTAATGTGTTGAATTTTCTTAGAAACACCGTATGACACATGCCCAAAACGTACAGAGAAACTTTGACGACGAATCGGAAGCCTCAAAGTAAACGCTGGAGTGGAACTGCCAACCGTCAGCTCCATGGAAAGTTCGTGAAGCCCATCAGAAGCAACCCAGGTATGTCCGGTCACGATTTGAGTATGATGCCGCCCGTAGTACAGGGCAGCAAATTCGCTACCCCGACGGCTTACAGGCATACCGCACCAGTAGGCAACCATATCGATCACTCAAGCAGAATACCGTAACTATAACCCGTGCTAGAATGCTGTATCACAACCTGCTGACCAAGTCCGGTGGGTGCATACTTATGAATGATGAAACCTTTGTAAAAGCTGACTTCAGACATCCTCCAGGACCAAAATTTTACAAGATGAAGGCTAGAGAAGGTGTCTCTGGCAGATTCAAATTTGTTTTCGCAGATAAATTTCGCACGCAAATATATGATCTGGCAGGGAATTTGCAGCTGTGGCCAGAAGACAAAGGTTTTCCTCACTGAGAAAATGATGAACTCGGATGTTTCTAAAACCGAATGCCTCCAGAAGCAAATTCTGCCATTCATTCAGTCACACAATGCACAGTGGGCAAAAATGGACAAAACCGTGACTAAATTGAATTTCACGGCTGCCAAACGGTTTCAGTCTACATGTTATACATATTCTCAAAGGAAAAAACTCTGCTAAATCTATTGGTGGTGGTCTCATTGGCCGGAGACTTTTGCGTACCGAGATAGAGGACCGGGATCAACCCGAGTTCCCGGTAAAGTAGGAAATGCCACTATCTATCGACATAATTTTTCACTTTACTGAACGTATATTACCGGAAATGGATAGTACTATGTATATATGGAGTAAAGACACCATATACGCCCTCATGGAAACTTTACTGGCCTAAAGGAGGATCCGGAACGACCGTTAAAGTGGTCATATTATAAAAAATGTCCTAGAACCTTGTGACTTTTTCTATGTTGTTCAGAATCCTGAGATCAAAGCGAATGTAATATGGAAACTATATTTTGGGGTATAGTGGCTATATTCTGGTTCTCCGGAAAATCTGGATTGACCGATAAAGTGGCCACATTATAAAAATGGTCCTGAAACCATACGATTTTTTCTATGTTTGTTCAGAATCATGAGATCAAAGCGAATTTAATAAAGAATATCAATTTTGGTGTAAAATGGCCATATCCTGGTTTTCCGGATAATCTGGATTGACCGATAAAGTTGCCACATTATAACAATTGCTATAGAACTGTTGTTTGTTTAGGATCACGGGATGAAAGTGTATTTAATATGGAATTTATAGTTTGGGATCACATGACCATATCGGTCAATCCAGATTATCCGGAGAACCAGAATATGGCCACTATACCCCAAAATATAGTTTCCATATTAAATACGCTTTGATCTCAGGATTCTGACATAGAAAAAATCACAAGGTTCTAGGACATTTTTTATAATATGACCACTTTAACGGTCATTCCGGATCCTCTTTTGGGCCAGTAGAGTTTCTATGTGGGCGTATATGGTGTCTTTACACCATATATACATAGTACTATCCATTTCCAGCAATATACGTTAAGTAAAGTGTAAAATTATGTCGATAGATAGTGGCATTTCCTACTTTACCGAAAACTCGGGTTGATCCCTGTTCTCTATCTCGGTACGCAAAGTCTCCGGCCAATTAGACCACCGCCATCGATTCAGCAGAGTTTTTCCTTTGAGAATATGTATAACATGTTAACTGAAACCGTTTGGCAGTCGTGAAATTCAATTTAGTCCGGTGACATTTTAACCGGATCTTGCGAGTTGTCAATACAGCCACTGCAATGGTACAACGGATATCAGTTTGTTCCGAAAACCCTCATTCCGCGCAATTGTTCCCAGTTCAGGTTCATTGAAAACTACTGGGCAATTATGAAGAGGAAACTGAAAGTTAAAGGTACAGTCATCATAACGACAGCTCAGCTGAAAAAATGGTGGGATAGAATCCCCAAAACAGCGGACGAGACCGTTGTGCGCCGCTTGATGGGTCGCATTAAAGGAATTTCGAGATTTCCTTCGAAACCGCGACGAATAATTCGTTTCGTATTTTATACTTAAAACATAAGGAATAGTATGTACTTGAGTGAAAACCATTTTTAAATCTGAAATATAGTAGACCCAAATGATGTTGTGGGCCATGCTTTACCTCGGATAGCTGGTGACATTGGATAGCATCCGCAGCAGAGAAATTCGGGGACGCATTATTATCGGAAGACACGTATCGGACTTGAGGTCTGGTAAACTTCGCCCCCCGTACTAAATGTAAAAGTCTTATTACTATGTACAACTTTTTTAACCGTTTGTAAAAATTGATGAAAATCTGGCTATAACTAGTTTGGAGTGAATTGTTTACATGTGCAAAATTTCATAACAATCGGTACAGTGGTTATTGAGATGTCATCGAAACAAGAAGAAAATCGCCGGAGAATTTTGCGCGCCGTCATGGAAAATCCGACTGCGACCATGAGGTGGATCAGAAGACAACTGGGAATCACCCATACAACTGTGTCTCGGGTGGTGAAATCGATTAAGAGGTCCCAGACGACCGAGCGGCGGGCTGGAAGTGGAAGAAAATCGAAGACAGCTGACCCAGTGAAGGCCCGGAAGGTGTTGGATTATTTCAAGCGTAATCCGAACCTTTCGATTCGCGACGCGGCTCTGAAGGCAAAGTGTTCCGCCTGGTTCATTCAGCAAACCATGAAACGAGCTGGGCTTCGTGTATTCAAGGTCCGGAAGGCACTGAACCAGCGTGATCAACAAAACACGGCAGCCAAATCCCGCACAAGGAAGCTGTATTGAGACTGGTTAACGGAACCGATGTGTGTGGTTATTAATGACGAAACCTACATCAAGGCAGACGCAAAGCAGATACCGGGGCTGGAGTTCTACGTTGCCAAATCACGGTTTGATGTTCCGAAAGACATAAGGAAGAAGAAAGTGGATAAATTCGTCAAAAAATACTTGCTCTGGCAGGCCATATGCCAATGCGGTAAACTGAGTAAACCGTACATCACAATGGGTACCATCAACAGCGAAATTTACCGCACCGAATGCCTCCAGAAGCGTCTGTTGCCCTTCCTGCGGTCCCATGGAGGCGGGACATTATTTTGGCCGGACTTGGCATCATGCCATTACGCGCGATCGACGTTGGATTGGTACCGAGACAATAACGTTGTTTTTGTACCAAAAACCGCCAACCCCCCAAATTCGGTGCGGTGGAAAGATTTTGGGCCATAATGAAGGCCAAAGTTCGAAAATTGTCCAAGGTGTTTAAGAACGAGCTGGAGTTGAAGAAAGAATGAATGAAAGTGACCAAAAAGGTCGGCTCCACCATTGCACAAAATGTAATGAGGGGTCTTAAGGGAAAGGTGGGGGCTTTTAGCGATGGAAAGGAAATTGAATAAAGTAATTATGCCGAAACATAATCCATATGTATAAGTTAATTTTCTGAAAGTTTCAAGAAAATCCGACTTAAAATAAATTTTTGGCGAACACTTTTGTCTGGTGCATTTTTTTTCGAGTACAGACCTTAGATAAAATTGATAAATAGCAAATGTTTAGCGATGGGCCCAATATTAGATCCATACCCAAGTAACAATTTAGGTTTTATGAGGGTTCTGTAGACCATGACTCATATTTGTATAGTGCTATAAAACCTCAATAAAACTTGCAATGTTACTTGGGTAGGCCAACATTAGAGCCATTTCCCCTATCAGTCCCGTCCTGAAATTCAATCGTCTAGAAGTCAAGTAAAAGTTCTGCTTTTTGAATTCACAGTGTTTCACAGTGTTTTGCAAATGGATATTGGTAAGAAGCCCTAGTAACAATTTGAGTTTTATGCGTGTCCTGAGGACCATAATTCTAAATGTCTGAATTATGGCCCTCATGGCACGCATAAAACACAAAAGGAAAAACAACAATCAATGCTAACAAGAAAGTGAGGTCATGATATTGATTTTGAACGTTTCCAAAGAATTTCAAATATCTCCCTTTAATGTTCACCACGAAATGATTAATGTGGATTGAACGTAAATGAATTGCATCAATTTTGATATCGGGAACGTGGCACCTCAAAGAGATTTTCATTTCATAAAACATTACATCATATTGCGGTAACTGTGCGGAAGATGGTTCATTCCGGGTAATGTTGTTCTTTTAACTGTCGTATTTACCATTATAGCAAATATTTATATTTCATTACGCAGAGCTACCCTACTGAACGTGTGGACGAGAGGAAAAAGTGCATCCGAATGCAAATGACTCATAAAAACTAGTTTTACGCACGCAAGATGAAACACCCAATGATACGGCACGAAGTGGAAGGCTTAATTGAGTCGTGTTTTTGGTCGTCCGGAGAAAATTATGCCTCCTCGCCAAGCGGACGGAATGTAATCCAACAGGTCACATGTAGGTCGCCACGATCGCTTCGCTCGTCCGGTTTGGGTTTTTACCAAACTAAATTCAGCACCATTATGAGTCGCGCGATGCAAAAACTAACATACATCCGTTTTCATTTCGTTTAGTTTTTTTTTTTTTTGCTGCTGTGGCCTTGAGTCGCCAACAAATTCCAGCGATAATTTCACTGCACGCGATATGGCTCTCGCCAGTCATCATCCACCGGACTGCATTCAATAAAGATAATTTATTGACATTCTAGGAAATTACTTAGCTTCTACATTTCGCAATATTGCCCTAACAATAGCACTAAATAACAGTAACAATAAAACTACGACCATGTCGTCATTGGCAAGCTACTAAAGCCAGGTAATTACGCCGGTGGCTCACACAGGCAAGCATCTTTTGCATTAGTCTTGATCCATTGCAGATATCGATTGACCCGGGTGTACACTCCGGGATAGTTGGGCTTGGCACAACCTTCTCCCCATGAAACGATGCCAACAATCTCTCGGAAACTGGCATCTCCTACCTGCAGCGGTCCGCCACTGTCACCCTAAAAATAAATTGAATAATCCGTCACTCATCTACAACAACACGCCATAATTGTGACCTCCTACTTGACAAGCATCTTGACCACCCTCCGGGAAGCCAGCACACATCATATTATCGGTGATCCGTGATGGTCGGTAGGCACTCTTCTTGCACTGCTGGTTGGTCATGATCGGCACCTTCACCTGTTGCAGCGCATTCGATAGGCTCCCATTCGATAGCTTACCCCACCCGGTAACGGTCCCGTCCATTCCGGAAAAGCTTTTCCCCGGACTCGGCAAGCACAACGTCACGTAATCATCTTTCACATTTACCGTGCTCTGTAGCTTTACCAGTGCGATATCGTTGTTGAAGCTATCCAAATTGAAGCGAGTGTTCCCGTAGAGCTTTTCCACCGCCTTCGAAACCATCCTGGCCACGCTCGTGTCGTACAGTTTGACCGTGATTTGATTCGCTTTGAAATTGAGGACACAGTGCGCTGCCGTCAGAACGTAACGATCGCTGATGAGAGAACCACCGCAGTAGAATGTTCCCCGGTAGTGAAGCATTGCCATCCAGGGAAACTCGCTGATGTCCGCTTTGACACCGCCGATGATTCGGGAGGTTACCAGCGAGACGCCACATGCTGCGAAGAGAGAAGGGAAACTTTAATGAAGATTGTGTATCTTTTGGAGTCTGACAAAAAAGGATTTGCTGAAGCTGAAAACAGGCAAATTTTAATTAAAGGCCCGAATTTATTCTAGGTGCTTTCTGATTGACTTTGTACTACAAACACTGAACGGGCACGGAATTTTTAATCCACCTTATTAATCATTGATTTGTTTGTGATTTTTTTAAATTACACACTTGCTAAGTTTACACGTGATGGAATCCATCTTTGACATAAAATATGAAACGTAAAAAAACATGTCATGTAATATTAAGTACTCCGAGACTGAAAAGCTCGTTGTTCAACGACAAGTACGTTTGATTGAGCTATGTTTCGCGTCTGATATGACTTAAACTTATGTCCAAATTGACGCTCCTATATGTCACTCTCAGATTTTGTATATGTCAATTTACATGCTTTTTCTAAGTGTGTAGTTGCATTAAGTGAAAATTGAGATCACACCAAAATGTCATAAAAAGAGGTTGGCGTGTGTTTCTTCCGATTATATCGCTTCCCAATACAATTAAGCTCAGCGTATCCCACTTTTGGAAATCACGAGAAGCATTTCTTTGTTAACTCTACATTTATTTTTATTTAAAATATACAGATACATACACAATCATATCTACACAATCAATACGAAACAGGTATCGAGTATAGGTATCGAGTAAATGTTCATGATATGCGATGATCTGCTAAACTCGGTGGGATTAGCAGAGAGTAAAAAATATTGCCGTAGAACGGGGTCGCTTTGATAGTATTTTTTTAAGTGTATTCTATATATTTTTTACAACAATGAATGTTTTTCAAATTTATTTTTTTTTTAAACAAGTGCTGAGGATCCTAGAGTCAATTCGTTAGAAATATGTTTAACAGAAATTATTGCATTTGCCCTATTTTTTGTGTCTTGTGACCGACCATCAGTTTTTTGCATTGGGGTTACTTTGATAATACTTAATTAATGTTGAAAAAATCACACAATCTAGTTCAAGAAATCTAAAACTTTGAATAAGTATTCAATCGGAAACATCATAAGCAATAAGAAGACAGCATTAATTTTGGGATAGCTCTATCAGAAATACATTTGATAAGTGATTGCTTGAGTGCTTTTTTCAAACAGGCGAAAAAAAGAAAACTTCTTTTATGATATTTGGTTGATAGTATAAAAACTCTATACGTTATCAAAGGTTATACCCTTAGCTACAAAATGGAACCAATGTTTTCAATAGGAAAATAGTGCAGAAGGTAAGTTATTTTATTAATTTCTAATATCAAAGCTACCCGCATTATCAAAGATACCCCGTTTTACGGTACTTAATTTTTGATGTAGCCTGATACCTGAACTACATGACTATGCCTTAGAGTAGTTCAAAATGTTGATTTTTCTCCACCAAGCTCAATCGATTTCAACTCAAGTAACAATTCAGTAACCATTTGGCATCCCCTCTGATTTATGATGGTTTTATAACGGCAATGAACAATCCATTTAGTTTAAATACAGCATTTCAAAGTGTAAAACATTCCTGCTTAGTAATTCAGCTTTTTGCTGTTTTAAAGACCTTTTATAGTCGGGCAAGAAAGTCAAAAACTGTCTTGTTTTAAAAATAAATTTGAAGCAGTTCTCAATCCCTCCTTAAAACTGTTCTGTAATTCAAGCATAAACGTCATTTGTAATTTTTCATTGATGTCTAGATACAATACTTTACAAAAGTGTTCTATCATTATAGAAGCAACCATAAAACCATTAGGTTTTGCATTAGAACAAAAATCATTATTGTTGCTTTTTAAGCTTTTTAAATTGCATCATAAACTCCCCAATAACTATGTTTAAAAATTGAGCTTAAAATATGGTTCCTCATAGTTAATAAAAGCCAATTTTATGACAAGGAAATCTCGAAGGATAGACGAAGTAGGATGAAAAATTCATGTCGATTTCAGCAAAATTTACTTCTTTAGAAGAACCAGCACACCATCAACGACTGACCATCTGGTGGAGAAGAGTTAAGCGAGCTTGGCCCTCGAATTCGTAAAACATTGTCAAAAGTTTAAAAACATACCAGTCTTCTCCAGATCTTGCGAATAGATGACAATCGAAATGACAACCTACAGGAAACCACTGAAACTGTTAGTGGAGATTAGCTGGTTTCCGATCCATAGCAGCGATTTTATTCGGCGAAAGAATCAACTCTTCGAAAATTTCACTCAGGCGTACATCCCTGCATCGTTGGATGGTGCACTTCTGTAACAATCCGCAAGAAGGGGATCTTTTTCGGGAACGATTGCGCTTCCAGCTGTTCGAAATGCGAAATGTTGTAAAAACAGTATAGCAAACTATCTGAGTAACACTAGATCCCACAGGGCAACTATCGAAAGATAAACAAACTTTGACGTTTAACTTTTTGCAGGCAACTTTACCTCCATAAATGCTGCCATAAATCTGAGCGGGTTAGGATCAAGCAAAAGGGCTTTAGATAATTACAATTCAGTCTGCAAGTTTTCTTCATAAAAGCCACTTTAAAACCTTATGAATTTGTTAGGGATTTCTTGAAAGCAAAACAACTTTTTCACAAATGACTTATGAAAGTCAACTTTAATGCCACCGCCATGTTACAATTAGTTTGCTTGTTTTTTTTTATATTATTCGATATTCAATCTATATTGCCTTGTATATAACTATATTTTGGTAAATTTAGCAATGAGCAAACATTTAAATACAAAGGTCATACAAAAATTTCGGCCAATCTCGATGTGAAGAATTTCTTTTTTTTTCAATGTAAACTAATTAGTCAGCGGCGCCAGTGGTGTGGTGGTAAGCATGATTACCTCTCACCCCAGCAGGGCTGGGTTCAATCCCAGTCGGTGCCGCCGGGATGTTCTGAGGCAAAACATCTATGATCACGCCTTCCTTCGGGGACCAGGGAAGTAAAACCTTTGGTCTCCGATTCATTAGTTGATGGGTCGATAGGTAGGGTCCAGGTGTGGGAGCTTGTGGGAGCTACCTCCCTGGCGTCGGTAGCATTGGTACTCAGCACGGAAAACAAGATCGACGGAAAACAAATCAAGAAAAAAAAAGTAATTAGTCAAATCGACGTTTTACGAGGGCGGACTTATTTTTTTCGATGTTTTCACATAACATTTAATAAGGCACTTAAAACTAGGCCTCTTAATGAGAACTATTGTAATAAATTTGGATATTCAACAAGATTTTTGTACCATCAGTTTCTATATTAATTATGTTGATAAGCTCAGATTCATAAATTATTTTCTATCTCGATTGATGCTTTCCTAGTGGATTTAGCAAGCGGCTAGGGGAAATTGCTCGGAAAGGGTTTTTATTGTTGCTAAATAGCTTTTATTGTAGTTTTCAAATGGTTCTCAATGCGTTTTCTTCATACAACCTTTTGCAGTAAATCAATCTTGAAGAGCTTTGAGAATACATCCTTCAGAACCTTCTCCAGAGTGGGCCAACTAAACATATTCTAGTCTTATTGAGGTTTTGGTGGATGAATTAATGACAAAATTGCCTTGATCAGGGTTTTATGAATGTTGTTTTATAGTTGCTTTGTAGTATTTCATAAAACTTATAACCTGTTGACCTATGAGGCTTCTCGTTCATTGAAAAGTTTTAACCTTTTTCTGCAGCAACTTTCGTCATCTCTCGGCAGGTTGAGAGATTGATGAAAAGCTCTCGCGGGAATTCTTTGGTGAACTCCACTCAGTTCTTATAAAGTTATCGGGTGGCTGTTTGAATTTGATCCAATATGGGCTAAACGGAGGAAACTAAAAATATATATAAAATACACGATTTCCTCACATGGATATTTCACATAGCCTCAGTTTACATTAACAATAGATAAAATGAGGGAAAGAGTTGCTGGTTTTAGTATATGTATTATTAAAGTGGATATTGTCATCCCGAAAAGTCGTGATTTTGATAAATGCGTCTAAAATAAGGATTTGGCAGAAAAATAATTTGTGAACTTTAAAAAGTGAATTTAGTTCATAAATAAGAGATTATTGAAATTCGATGAAGTTTAATTTGTGTAATCAATTGACAAATAGGAAGCTAAAAAGTTAAATTTGTTTTTTTATCTCTTGTTTTGTTTTCCGTCGATCTTGTTTTCCGTGCTGAGCACCAACGCTACCGACGCCAGGAAGACAGCTCCCAAACTCATGAACCAACGACTTTACTTCGCATTCGAAGGAAGGCGTGATCATAGATGCTAAGTCTCAGAAAATCACAGCGGCGCAAACTGGGATTGAACCCAGGCCTGCTGGGGTGAGAGGCAATCACGCTTACCACTACCGCACTGGTGCCACTAAAGTTAAATTTGTATAGCAGGGTCAAGACCAAATGGAATAATAAGCGATTATCCTAATTGTGAATTTTGTTACTGAAATAAGTCGGGTTAGATTTCTAAACGTAGAAGCGTTACGTGAATACGGTTCATTAATTAAATGTATACGCATGTTGAACAGATTCAACCCACTGTGCAACGTGGGTGCGAGTTTGAGGCTTGGGAGCCTGCGAGCTGGACGGAACCTGGTGAATATCCGCCTTACGAACAAAGGACCAGTGTTGGCAAAATCATCAAGCAATTGATATTTTCCACTCTCATACGCTCTTAATATAACGCGTGATATTGCATCAAAATATCTTGCTTGATATTAATTTTACTAGCTCCTTTGATATTGCAAGACTATTTACAACCTGAGTACTGCGGAGTATATCGATTTCAGTTTGCAAGCAAATGGAATACTGCTTGAAAATTTGTTCAAGTTTAAAATTGTTTTGTTCTTTCTCAGTTGATTCCCGCCAAAAGCTCTGAGCCAGGAGTGCTCGAGCCCCATGACTCTATCAAAGTTTGTTTACATACATGTTTCGCCAAAGTATGTTTTACTGATATTGAAAACACAGCTGAGTCTTAAAAACTATGCTGGTTTTCAGGGTTACTTCCACTCACTTCACTATAAAA